TTTGTTTTTTTTTTTGTTTTCAGCCCATAAAAGCACCTCTGTGTGTTAACCTGTTTGTTCATTTCTGGATGCCGGAATTAGAGGTTCAGCTGGCCATGGATGCATTGATGGCCGGTTCAGCAGCGACTTTGGCTGTCTAATGATCCACCTCTGTGAAGTCTCATTTTAATAGCATCGTGGGCCCCTGGGCAAAATAATGTACTGGGGCCCCTACCAGCCTGCATCAGGCATCCACATCACAGCACCCCAATACATCAGATATCCACATCACAGCACCCCATACATCAGATATCACATCACAGCACCCTCATACATCAGGTGTCCCTATCACAGCCCCCCATACATCAGATATCCACATCACAGCACCCCAATACATCAGATATCCACATCACAGCACCCTCATACATCAGGTGTCCCTATCACAGCACCCCCATACATCAGATATCCACATCACAGCACCCCCTATACATCAGATATCCACATCACAGCACCCCCTATACATCAGATATCCACATCACAGCACCCCAATACATCAGATATCCACATCACAGCACCCCAATACATCAGATATCCACATCACAGCACCCTCATACATCAGGTGTCCCCATCACAGCACCCCCATACATCAGATATCCACATCACAGCACCCCCTATACATCAGATATCCACATCACAGCACCCCCTATACATCAGGTGTCCCCATCACGGCACCCCCATATGTCAGGTATCCCCATCACAGCACCCCCATACATCAGTTGTCCCCATCACGGCACCCCCATACATCAGCCACATCACAGCACCCCCATATGTCAGGTATCCCCATCACAGCACCCCCATATATCAGGTGTCCCCATCACGGCACCCCCATACATCAGGTGTCCCCATCACGGCACCCCCATACATCAGGTGTCCCCATCATAGCACCCCCCTACTTAAGGTATCCTGATCACAGCACCCCCATACATCAGATGTCCCCATCACAGCACCCCCATACACCAGGTGTCCCCATCATAGCATACACCATACATCAGGTGTCCCCATCACAGCACCCACATACATCTGGTGTCCCCATCACAGCACCCCCATACACCAGATGTCCCCATCACAGCATACCCCATACATCTGGTGTCCCCATCACAGCACCCACATACATCTGGTGTCTCTATCACAGCACCCCCATACATCAGGTATCCCCATCACAGCACCCACATACATCAGGTATCCCCATCACAGCACCCCCATATATCAGGTGTCCCGATCACAGCACCCCCATACATCAGAGGTTACCATCACAGCACCCCCATATGTCAGGTATCCCCTTCACAGCACTCCCATACATCAGGTGTCCCCATCACTGCACCCCCATACATCAGGTGTCCCCATCACTGCACCCCCCTACATCAGGTGTCCCCATCCCCATCACAGATGTCCCCATCACTGCCATACATCAGATGTCCCCATCACAGCACCCACATCAGGTGTCCCCATGACAGCATCCCCATGCATCAGATGTCCCCATGACAGCATCCCCATGGATCAGATGTCCCCATCACAGCACCCCAATATATCAGATGTCACCATCACAGCACCCCCATACATCAGGTACTGTTATCACAGCACCCCCCATACATCAGGTGTCTCCATCACAGCACCCCCCATACATCAGATGTCCCCATCACTTCACCCCCATACATCAGGTGTCCCCATCACAGCACCCCCCCAGACATCAGATGTCCCCATCACTTCACCCCCATACATCAGGTGTCCCTATCACAGCACCCCCCATACATCAGGTGTCCCTATCACAGCACCCCCCATACATCAGGTGTCCCCATCACTTCACCCCCATACATCAGGTGTCCCCATCACAGCACCCCCAATACATCAGATGTCCCCATCACAGCACCCCCATACATCAGGGTGTCCCCATCACAGCACCCCCATACATCAGGTGTTTCCATCACAGCACCCCCCATACATCAGATGTCCCCATCACTTCACCCCCATACATCAGGTGTCCCCATCACAGCACCCCCATACATCAGGTGTCCACATCACAGCACCCCCCCATATATCAGGTGTCCTCATCACAGCACCCCCATACATCACATGTCCCCATCACAACACCCCCCATACATCAGGTATCCCCATCACAGCACCCCCATACATCAGGTGTCCTCATCACAGCACCCCCATACATCAGGTGTCCTCATCACAGCACCCCCATACATCAGGTGTCCTCATCACAGCACCCCCATACATCAGGTGTCCTCATCACAACACCCCCATACATCAGGTGTCCCCATCACAGCACCCCTATACATCAGTGTGTCCTCATCACAGCACCCCCATACATCAGGTGTCCTCATCACAGCACCCCCATACATCAGGTGTCCCTCATCACAGCACCCCCATACATCAGGTGTCCCGATCACAGCACCCCCATACATCAGGTGTCCTCATCACAGCACCCCCATACATCAGGTGTCCTCATCACAGTGTCATCATGTATAAGGTGTTCCATTGGCTGTAAAAGCAATTACTGTATATAAAGAAAAAAAATCTCGATCACCCCCCTCCAGTAGTAGTGTATTGTTAGGGTGACGCTATGTGAAATAAATAAATAAACAAATAAATGTAAAATGATAAAATAGAATTAAATAAAAATTTTGTTTTTTAATTATTTTTTTTAATATATATACTGATGTGGGGGGGGGGGGGGTTTGTTTGTTTTTTTACAGAAAGGTTAGCAGAATACATTTTGGCCTAGATTTATGAAGAATGATTATTTATTTCATGCAAAGCCTTGATGTAAACCCTTAAAAGGCGCATGAAAGTCGCACCTAAATGATACACATGCGACTTGTGTGCGACTTTGTATAGCACAGGTCTGCAGCAAATTCACACTCATCCAAAGTCGCATCAAGTCGAACTGTAAAGTCGCATGGAAATCGCACGATTTTATGGTCACACCAGCGTGAATGGAGCCTAAAAGAAGCAAAGTGTCACAGGCCACCTGACCCCAGTGTAACCGAGGAACATGTTTTTGGAAGACTGATCTCATCGATGTGCAACACAGCCTAGACCCTTGTTTCTGAAAATGCTAGTTTCCTGGCTGTCATATGGATGCTCTGCCTTCACTACCTTCCGAGTCTCTCACCCAGAAGAAGAATGCAGCCAGAGAAGTCAGAAGTCGCATTGTAATTGTAGCCAGGTGCTGCGCTAAAGCAGGAGTCGCATTGTAATTGTAGCCAGGTGCTGCGCTAAAGCAGGAGTCGCATTGTAATTGTAGCCAGGTACTGCACTACAGCAGGAGTCGCATTGTAATTGTAGCCAGGTACTGCACTACAGCAGGAGTCGCATTGTAATTGTAGCCAGGTGCTGCGCTAAAGCAGGAGTCGCATTGTAATTGTAGCCAGGTACTGCACTACAGCAGGAGTCGCATTGTAATTGTAGCCAGGTACTGCACTACAGCAGGAGTCGCATTGTAATTGTAGCCAGGTGCTGCGCTAAAGCAGGAGTCGCATTGTAATTGTAGCCAGGTACTGCACTACAGCAGGAGTCGCATTGTAATTGTAGCCAGGTACTGCACTACAGCAGGATAGAGAAGGAGGTATCTCCCTATATTCCTCTCTCCCTCGGCTCACATACTGATGTTGTCCTGCACCATCCTCCTCCGGCCAGCTGGGGGAGAGCTAAAGCCAAGCAAACCCATAGACTTCTATGCAGAGTGCTGAGAATCCTGGGAGTTGTAGTACCAAAGGGCCATATGTGGCCCTTGTGCCGCAGGTTGGGCACCAGGTATCTAAGAGGTTCTCTAGATCCAGCACCGCTTCCAACCAAATGTTTGTGTGGAAAGGAAGGGAGCGCCCAGTGTCCAGAAAAATGCAACTTTTGATGTAGGATCTATAAAATGTTTATTGAAAATGTAGACAATGTACACCGATCCAACGCGTTTCAGGGGAGCAGACTCCTTTTCTAGGGCTGCAGTCTGCGTCCTTAGGTGGCACTCTAGAAATCATTTTGGGAAACTCTCCCACCCATTAGCATGCAGCAACAGCCCTGAAGAAGGGGGGAGTCCATTCCCCTGAAACGCGTTGACTTCATGGACTTGTCTCCATTTTCAGTAAACGTTTTATGAACTTTACATCAAAACTGCATATTTCTGGTCACCGGGCGCTTTTTCCTTCCCACTCAAGTCTTCTTGCTGAAGCGACCACAAAGCCATACCTGACGGGTAGCAGCCCAAGCCCCCAAGAAGGTCCACCACCACCACCATCCATGGCCTGGCACAATCTACTGGAAGTGATTCCTTCCTCATTGCCCACGCAGCCACCTACCCACCACTAGTGACCCATCCCGTCAGCCCAGCGCGGTCTCCGGCCGAAGCAAATGCTGACTTTGATAACACGTCCCTTCACACGCCGGCTTCCACTCCTTTGGCACAAAATCCTCAGCAGAATTCTACGTTTGAGTTATTTGTAAATATGTATTGCAGACATTTGCTGCGACTCGGTGTCAGAGATATTACATACGTCGATGGTAAAAAAAAACAAAAAAAAAAAAAAAAAAACATGACTCTTAAGTGGATGCTTGGCAGCTAAGCTGACTCCCTGAGCAGATGTCCGGCCCGTCCTCCACACCCCCCCCCCCCCGTCCTCCACACCCCCCCATCCCATGGCTTTATCCCTAGATGCACTTGTAGGTTGCAGCCATCTGCAGTGTCCCACACCCCTCCCTCCCCGCTTCATTCACACTAAGACCCGCACCCAACAGACGGACCTCAATTTATATAACTCCATACACCATATGTATTTAAAGCTCCCTCTCTGTCTGCCACAGATCTGTGCTATGAAATGATTGCAGAAAACATTTTACTTTTCCTTTAATCAGCCGCACAGCTTGGGGGAAAAAATGTATATAAATCTTGTATATAATATGCAGGACTGTAGGAGAGAAAAGGAAAACAAGAGCAAGTAATGTTATGTAAACAAAAAACAAGTGGGAAGAATGTCCCTTACATTGGTGGTCAGTGGGAAGAATGTCCCTTACATTGGGGGTCAGTGGGAAGAATGTCCCTTACATTGGGGGGGTCAGTGGGAAGAATGTCCCTTACATTGGGGGGGGTCAGTGGGAAGAATGTCCCTTACATTGGTGGTCAGTGGGAAGAATGTCCCTTACATTGGGGGTCAGTGGGAAGAATGTCCCTTACATTGGGGGGGTCAGTGGGAAGAATGTCCCTTACATTGGGGGGGTCAGTGGGAAGAATGTCCCTTACATTGGGGGTCAGTGGGAAGAATGTCCCTTACATTGGGGGTCAGTGGGAAGAATGCTTCTTACATTGGGGGTCAGTGGGAAGAATGTCCCTTACATTGGGGGTCAGTGGGAACAATGTCCCTTACATTGGGGGTCAGTGGGAAGAATGTCCCTTACATTGGGGGGGGGGTCAGTGGGAAGAATGTCCCTTACATTGGGGGTCAGTGGGAAGAATGTCCCTTACATTGGGGGGTCAGTGGGAAGAATGTCCCTTACATAGGGGGTCAGTGGGAAGAACGTCCCTTACATTGGGGGTCAGTGGGAAGAATGTCCCTTACATTGGGGGGTCAGTGGGAAGAATGTCCCTTACATTGGGGGGTCAGTGGGAAGAGTGTCCCTTACATTGGGGGTCAGTGGGAAGAATGTCCCTTACATTGGGGGTCAGTGGGAAGAATGTCCCTTACATTGGGGGTCAGTGGGAAGAATGTCCCTTACATTGGGGGATCAGTAGGAAGAATGTCCCTTACATTGGGGGTCAGTGGGAAGAATGCTCCTTACATTGGTAGTCAGTGGGAAAGAATATCCCTTACATTGGGGGGTCAGTGGGAAGAATGTCCCTTACATTGGGGGTCAGTGGGAAGAATGTCCCTTACATTGGGGGTCAGTGGGAAGAATGCTCCTTACATTGGTGGTCAGTGGGAAGAATATCCCTTACATTGGGGGTCAGTGGGAAGAATGTCCCTTACACTGGGGGTCAGTGGGAAGAATGTCCCTTACATTGGGGGTCAGTGGGAAGAATGTCCCTTACATTGGGGGTCAGTGGGAAGAACGTCCCTTACATTGGGGGTCAGTGGGAAGAATGTCCCTTACATTGGGGATCAGTGGGAAGAACGTCCCTTACATTGGGGGTCAGTGTGAAGAACGTCCCTTACATTGGGGGTCAGTGGGAAGAATGTCCCTTACATTGGGGGATCAGTGGGAAGAATGTCCCTTACATTGGGGGTCAGTGGGAAGAATGTCCCTTACATTGGGGGTCAGTGGGAAGAATGTCCCTTACATTGGGGGTCAGTGGGAAGAATGTCCCTTACATTGGGTGGTCAGTGGGAAGAATGTCCCTTACATTGGGGGTCAGTGGGAAGAATTGTCCCTTACATTGGGGGTCAGTGGGAAGAATGTCCCTTACATTGGGGGTCAGTGGGAAGAATGTCCCTTACATTGGGGGTCAGTGGGAAGAATGTCCCTTACATTGGGGGGTCAGTGGGAAGAATGTCCCTTACATTGGGGGGTCAGTGGAAAGAATGTCCCTTACATTGGGGGTCAGTGGGAAGAGTGTCCCTTACATTGGGGGTCAGTGGGAAGAATGTCCCTTACATTGGGGGTCAGTGGGAAGAATGTCCCTTACATTGGGGGTCAGTGGGAAGAATGTCCCTTACATTGGGGGATCAGTAGGAAGAATGTCCCTTACATTGGGGGTCAGTGGGAAGAATGCTCCTTACATTGGTGGTCAGTGGGAAGAATATCCCTTACATTGGGGGTCAGTGGGAAGAATGTCCCTTACATTGGGGGTCAGTGGGAAGAATGTCCCTTACATTGGGGGTCAGTGGGAAGAATGCTCCTTACATTGGTGGTCAGTGGGAAGAATATCCCTTACATTGGGGGTCAGTGGGAAGAATGTCCCTTACACTGGGGGTCAGTGGGAAGAATGTCCCTTACATTGGGGGTCAGTGGGAAGAATGTCCCTTAGATAGGGGGTCAGTGGGAAGAACGTCCCTTACATTGGGGGTCAGTGGGAAGAATGTCCCTTACATTGGGGGATCAGTGGGAAGAACGTCCCTTACATTGGGGATCAGTGTGAAGAATGTCCCTTACATTGGGGGTCAGTGGGAAGAATGTCCCTTACATTGGGGGATCAGTGGGAAGAATGTCCCTTACATTGGGGGTCAGTGGAAAGAATGTCCCTTACATTGGGGGTCAGTGGGAAGAATGTCCCTTACATTGGGGGTCAGTGGGAAGAATGTCCCTTACATTGGGGGTCAGTGGGAAGAATGTCCCTTACATTGGGGGTCAGTGGGAAGAATGTCCCTTACATTGGGGGTCAGTGGGAAGAATGTCCCTTACATGGGGGTCAGTGGGAAGAATGTCCCTTACATTGGGGGTCAGTGGGAAGAATGTCCCTTACATTGGGGGTCAGTGGGAAGAATGTCCCTTACATTGGGGGGTCAGTGGGAAGAGTGTCCCTTACATTGGGGTCAGTGGGAAGAATGTCCCTTACATTGGTGATCAGTGGGAAGAATGTCCCTTACATTGGGGGCAGTGGGAAGAATGTCCCTTACATTGGGGGATCAGTAGGAAGAATGTCCCTTACATTGGGGGTCAGTGGAAGAATATCCCTTACATTGGGGGTCAGTGGGAAGAATGTCCCTTACATTGGGGGTCAGTGGGAAGAATGTCCCTTACATTGGGGTCAGTGGGAAGAATGTCCCTTACATTGGGGGTCAGTGGGAAGAATGTCCCTTACACTGGGGGTCAGTGGGAAGAATGTCCCTTACATTGGGGGTCAGTGGGAAGAATATCCCTTACATTGGGGGTCAGTGGGAAGAATGTCCCTTACACTGGGGGTCAGTGGGAGAATGTCCCTTACATTGGGGGTCAGTGGGAAGAATATCCCTTACATTGGGGGTCAGTGGGAAGAATGTCCCTTACATTGGTGGTCAGTGGGAAGAATGTCCCTTACATTGGGGGTCAGTGGGAAGAATGTCCCTTACATTGGGGGTCAGTGGGGGAAGAATGTCCCTTACATTGGGGGTCAGTGGGAAGAATGCCCCTTACATTGGAGGTCAGTGGAAGAATGTCCCTTACATTGGGGGGGGTCAGTGGGAAGAACGTCCCTTACATTGGGGGTCAGTGTGAAGAATGTCCCTTACATTGGTGGTCAGTGGGAAGAATGTCCCTTACATTGGTGATCAGTAGGAAAAATGTCCCTTACATTGGGGGTCAGTGGGAAGAAATGTCCCCTACTTACATTGGGGGATCAGTGGGAAGAATGTCCCTTACATTGGGGGTCAGTGGAAAGAATGTCCCTTACATTGGGGGTCAGTGGGAAGAATGTCCCTTACATTGGGGGTCAGTGGGAAGAATGTCCCTTACATTGGTGGTCAGTGGGAAGAATGTCCCTTACATTGGGGGTCAGTGGGAAGAATGTCCCTTACATTGGGGGTCAGTGGGAAGAATGTCCCTTACATTGGGGGTCAGTGGGAAGAATGTCCCTTACATTGGGGGTCAGTGGGAAGAATGTCCCTTACATTGGGGGTCAGTGGGAAGAATGTCCCTTACATTGGGGGTCAGTGGGAAGAATTACCCCCTTGCAGACAGATAAAAAGTATCAGTGGGAACTTATCTGAGAGGCACAAGTTGCTCATTGCTCAAGGACCCCCAAACACCCTCTGGAGGAACCCGGGGTTCCATGGAACCTTGCTTGAGAAGCCAGAATACGGTGACAGGTGGGAAGATGGCAGAATCTCCTTTGTCAGTGATGGAGTGACACCTTGTTAATCCATCCAGCAAGGAGGCAACGCTGTAGAAAAAGATAAGTGGCCCCCTTTTGCCCTCTCTAGTGATCCTGTACATATCCTTTTGAATGCATTTGATACTTCTAGAACCTGTAAACATAAACAAATCAGGTCGATACATTTTGGAATATTTACCTGCCTTGCCGCACAATATTGATTATGGCGGCGAGCTGTCAGTTTACAATCATTCGTATTATTGACCCCATACAACTCAACTCGTTTTGCGTGCGATATTTTCCATCTGGCGAGGAGGTGGATACAAAGAGACGCGGAGACGATTTTTGATCTGGTAGTTGACAGGCTGTAGCAGGCAAGGAGTTAACATGTTAACTCCACCTTGGCTGGGCTCCTTCTGTTTTGGCCCTGTGCCATCTGGAGTTCCCTGTGTCCCCCTCCCATCGCTTCTCACACCTAATCCCCAGCCTAATAACATGGTTGCACTTTTAATGATGATAATGAAGCGTCTGGGGTGTGAACACAGGACTCCTCACTGGGGGGTATCGGAGATTATCCATCCCTGGCCAGCTCTAAACTGGCAAACTACTCATTGCTTTGCTTCCCTCGCCTCGCCCTGCTGCACTGCTGGTTGGGATCATGGGTCAGTGCCTAGATAGCATGACTAGGACCATTTGGTGGACTGGCTATTACACTTTTTGCCCTTAGAGGCCAAGACTCCACATGGTCATTGATGACTAGAACTATTTGGTGGACCAGCTATTGCACTTCGTGCCCTTAGAGGCCAAGACTCCACATGGTCAGTGATGACTAGAACCATTTGGTGGACAGCTATTGCGCTTCGTGCCCTTAGAAGCCAAGACCCCTCATGGGCAATGATGACTAGAACCATTTGGTGGACCAGCTATTGCACTTCGTGCCCTTAGAAGCCAAGACCCCACATGGTCAATGATGACTAGAACCATTTGGTGGACAGCTATTGCACTTCGTGCCCTTAGAGGCCAAGACTCCACATGGTCAATGATGACTAGAACCATTTGGTGGACCGGCTATTGCACTTCGTGCCCTTAGAAGCCAAGACCCCTCATGGGCAATGATGACTAGAACCATTTGGTGGACCGGCTATTGCACTTCCTGCCCTTAGAGGCCAAGACCCCTCATGGTCAGTGATGACTAGAACCATTTGGTGGACCGGCTATTGCACTTCGTGCCTTTAGAGGCCAAGACCCCTCATGGTCAGTGATGACTAGAACCATTTGGTGGACCAACTATTGCACTTCATGCCCTTAGAGGCCAAGACCCCTCATGGGCAGTGATGACTAGAACCATTTGGTGGACCGGCTATTGCACTTTGTGCCCTTAGAGGCCAAAACCCCTCATGGTCTGTGATGTAGAACCATTTGGCAGACCAACTATTGCACTTCGTGCCCTTAGGGGCCAAGAACCCTCATGGTCAGTGATGACTAGAACCATTTGGTGGACCAGCTATTGCACTTCGTGCCTTTAGAGGCCATGACCCCTCATGGTCAGTGATGACTAGAACCACTTAATGGACCAACTATTGCACTTCATGCCCTTAGAGGCCAAGACCCCTCATGAGCAGTGATGACTAGAACCATTTGATGGACCGGCTATTGCACTTCATGCCCTTAGAAGCCAAGACCCCACATGGTCAGTGATGACTAGAACCATTTGGTGGACCGTCTATTGCACTTCATGCCCTTAGAGGCCAAGACCCCTCATGGTCAGTGATGACTAGACCATTTGGTGGACCAGCTATTGCACTTCGTGCCCTTAGAGGCTGAGACCCCTCATGGTCAGTGATGACTAGAACCATTTGGTGGACGGCTATTGCACTTCGTGCCCTTACAGACCAAGACCCCTCATGGTCAGTGATGACTAGAACCATTTGGTGGACCGGCTATTGCACTTCGTGCCCTTAGAGGCCAAGACCCCTCATGGTCAGTGAAGACTAGGACCATTTGGTGGACCAGCTATTGTACTTCATGCCCTTAGAGGCCAAGACCCCTCATGGGCAGTGATGACTAGAACCATTTGGTGGACAGCTATTGCACTTCGTGCCCTTAGAGGCCAAGACCGCTCATGGGCAGTGATGACTAGAACCATTTGGTGGATAGCTATTGCACTTCGTGCCCTTAGAGGCCAAGACCCCTCATGGTTAGTGATGACTAGAACCATTTGGTGGACCGGCTGTTGCACTTCATGCCCTTAGAGGCCAAGACCCCACATGGTCAGTGATGACTAGAACCATTTGGTGGACCGGCTATTGCACTTCGTGCCCTTAGAGGCCAAGACCCCTCATGGTCAGTGATGACTAGGACCATTTGGTGGACGGCTATTGCACTTCGTGCCCTTAGAGGCTGAGACCCCTTATGGTCAGTGATGACTAGAACCATTTGGTGGACGGCTATTGCACTTCGTGCCCTTACAGACCAAGACCCCTCATGGTCAGTGATGACTAGAACCATTTGGTGGACCGGCTATTGCACTTCGTGCCCTTAGAGGCCAAGACCCCTCATGGTCAGTGAAGACTAGGACCATTTGGTGGGACCAGCTATTGTACTTCATGCCCTTAGAGGCCAAGACCCCTCATGGGCAGTGATGACTAGAACCATTTGGTGGACAGCTATTGCACTTCGTGCCCTTAGAGGCCAAGACCGCTCATGGGCA